ACTCAAAGTCTCAGGGTCTCACACCTCTTGCTTGTCTTCTTAAATCCTTAAAACAACTAGAACTTTTGGATACAATCAGGCCAAAATGCCTGAAGTTCCTGTGCACCACTGCCTGGCCTCAGTACGAGTTAGATAATAACTCTGTTTGGCCAGACACTAAAACCTTAGACTTCAATATTTTGAGAGATTTAAAAAATTTCTCTCATTGTAAAGGCAAATGGTCTGAATTACCATACAGCCAAGCTTCCTTTGATCTCCATGCTAATCCCTCTGTCTGGGTCCCATGTTCTTCCCATCAGGTTCTTCTTGCTAAGACAGTTTCACAGGATCCCAACCCACCAGGGGCCTCCCCCCACCCCTCGACCTCAGCTTTTGATCCTACCATAGCCAATAAACTGCCTCCAATTAGGAGATTAGGACCCATCCCCAACCTCCTCCTGCTCCCCAGCCTGAGGCACAGCCTCAGTCCTCCCCTTGCTCTCCCCTTGCTATACTCTCCCTGCCTCCCATTCCAGGGCCCAATCCAGCTCTCCTCCTTTCTCCAACTCAAACTCCCTCTCTATACCATGACCTTTCCCCTCTCCAGCACCACTCTAAGTCCATCACCCATTCTCCTTCCCCTAACTCTCCTCTACTTAAGGATAGCCAAAACCTTAAACACTTCCTTGCCAAATATTCCCTAGTCTCCCCTATTCTGGCTTCTAGCTCAAATAACCCATTTATCCTTCCTGTATCTAACTTCTACTTTGATTCCAGACCCTGTCTCTGATACCCCTGTCCCTCTGTCCCCTCATGGACAGGACACCCTTCCCATCTCTTCCACTCCAACAGTTATACCAACAGTTATAAAGTCTAAACAGGGTTATAGCAGTTCTCCTTAATTGATTATGCTGGAGGGTGTAAACATCAATTCGATAATGTTTAACTATGTTCCAATTGCTTTTTTCCACCTAAAGCAAGGTTTTCATAGACTGCTCTCTAAACTACATAAGGTAAAAGATTTACCTAAAAACTTATAAAACACAATATGTACACGTGTAATACACTGTCTTTGTATATAATTGAGATTTCATGTTCTTTTAATAAGATAATGCTACACAC